TATTCTTGTTATCCACTTAATCAGGGATTAAAATATTTCAACATAAACTATTTAGGCTATGGTAAGCCCATTTACGTTTTTCAGAATGGAATAAGTGTTATTTTATAGAAAAATTCAGATTCATCCCTCCCATATTGTCGATGTGGGACAAATACAAAATGATTAATATTTGGTCGATAATGTTGTGACCAATTTCTAACAAGTATTTGTTCGTCAAAAATTACTCACGAATTTTTAACCAAATTTTGTTTTAGTCGATAAATAGTAAGAATATTTTGACTATTTACTGATCATTTGTATTAGTCAAAAAATTTTGATCATATTTTGACGAGTTTAAATTTTCATAATTTTTTGGTCGAAAAAATGTCAATAAACTTTTTGACCATTTTACTGGTAAAAAATATGGTAAAAAATTAACGTATTTTTTTGACCAATTTCTAACCAATCTTCTTTGTCGCAATTTTTCGACCATTTTTTTGACAAATTTACGAATCCGTTAAAAATTGGTCGAAAAATTTTGACCAATTTTCGACTCTTATATTTCGTATTTTTTTTTTTACCAATTTCTAATGAAAATAAACATTCATCTAAAATTGGTCAAAAATTATCAAAATAGTTTCTGACCACAAAAAGTTAGTCAAAATTTGATATGTTTTCAAATAGTTTCTGAAAATAAACATCGATGTAAACAGTTTTTTTTTTTTTGCTAAACTAATGATGTAAACAGTTCGTCTTCCAATTTGGGTAATGTTATAATAAAATTTATAACAATTTTACATGTAAGGATTCAGATTGTGGCAATGAAGTAAAAAATAATGCAAAGAATTGACCTAATACAAGAATATTTCTAAACACTCATTCTTTTTATGGTTGGCGAAACATTTATATTTGTTTATATGCTTAAGCGATAAACTCCAAAAACCCTTATTTTTCAATTAATCAAAATGTAAAGATAAAATTATAGTAATGAAATAAAGCAATAAACTAAGAACTATAATATATTATGTCTGATCAATAACATAAAACGGTATAAAAATTTATGAGTCAAACTCAATAAAAATTTAGTCATGATGTAATAACTACACCAACTTTACGTGTAAGCAATTCACAGAATATTATACACATCAATCTGCTATATAAACCCAAACACATTCCTCATCAACCAAAACCAAAAACCAAACATTACTCCTTTAAAAACACAAAATGGCGTTTACGACATCAAAGCGAAACGCAATCGCGTTTCTCACAACGCTACTAGTAGTCTCCGTTCCATTTTCTTCCTCCACCACACTACAACAAGATTTCGTTCAGTGCCTCGTCGACAACTCCGACGTCTCGTTCCCTATAACGTCGTCGTTTTTCTCACCGGACCAAAACGCAACTCTGTTCAAAGAAGAGCTCGAATCAACGGCGCAGAATCTCCGTTACTTGACGCCGTCAAATCCGAAGCCAGTGTTCATATTCGAGCCGTTGTACGAGACGCATGTCCAAGCAGCGGTCGTGTGTGCCAAGAAGCTGCAGCTTCGCATGCTGATACGTAGCGGCGGTCACGACTACGAAGGGCTTTCGTTCGTCGCCGAGAACGAAACGCCGTTTGTAATCGTCGATCTATCAAAGCTTAGACAGATCGACGTAGATTTGGACAGTAACAGTGCGTGGGCTCACGCGGGTGCAACCATCGGAGAGGTTTATTACAGGTAAAGTAACTCCTACGTACGCATGGTTATATTATTGGACCGATTCATGAGTTTGATCTTTACTTAAGATTCTTTTAAAAAGTAAAAGAAAAGATTGAAGCAATAGCAAGGCTTAAAATATAATTAAACTTTTAAGCGTAAATGCTCGATGCTTGCTTAATAATTTTAAATTTCATTATATTATGGACTTATTTGTTTAGAACTCGCAATGTTGTTACCGCAAATAGTAACGGAAGTTGTTTGACGTTTTCGGCTAAAGAGCAAATTAAATAGCTACACGTTTTTCTTTGCATTGATCCATTGCCATTTGGGGAAAATATTGTTTTCAATTTTTTTTAATGGATTCCCTAAAAAGGTCGGTTTGAAGGATTAGAGCTAAATTAATCTAAAAAATATTATTTTAGAGATTTATGTTTTAGCATAAAAAAGATTAATTAGTGAAATAACATGTTTGAGTATGTGAATTAGTTAAGTAACATATGCAGATAATAAATTTGTTAACTAACAAAGAGAAATAAAATGAGACTATTTTACCCTTTATAACATTCAATGAGAATTATCGCATTTAATGCATATTTAATGCAAATTTGTTTTGTAATAAAAAGAGAAATATCATTATTTTTCTAGATATAAACTTTAAGTTGACATATATAATTTTTTTTTTTGTATTTTAAGTTTTTTCAAAAAAATCATGTTTTTTTAAGTTTAATAATAACTGATTATTATTTAAATAGATTAACTATATAGTGAACTATATCACAAATTAAATACTATAGACATAAATAGTGAATTATTTCACTATTTAATTAAAAAAATAGTGAACTTTTTTTTAATATAATTAACTACATGTTTGATGTAGTGAATTATTTAATTATATAAATAATAGTGAACTATTTGTGAATATAACAAGTATAACTGATTTTCTGTGAATAAAATTAACTATATAGATAACTATTTATTTATATATAGCCAACTACACGTGGATATATAACCAACTACATTTAAACGTAGTTATTTATATTTTTTGTTATATAGATAATAGTGAACTATTAGTGAATATAACTCGTATAGATGACTATTTGTGAAAATAATTATTTATATAGAGAACTATACTTGAATATATAGTTAACTACACATAGATATATAACTAACTATATTTAATAATTAACTATATATAAAGATAAATATATTTGGGTACATAGTTAATTACATATATAAATATATAATAGATAGAAATGAAAGGTCTAAATGTTTCTGATATTGGTTTTTTTTTCTCCTAATATTGTAAAAAAAAACTATTAATCTTTAATATGTTTTTTTGAAATTTAAAGAGAAACAAATTGATATAGAAAAAAGAATGTAATAAAGAAATAGTGATGAAAAAAAAATATGAGAACATTTACCATAAATATATTAAGAGTATAATTGAAATCTCTCATAATTAAAATGTTAGTTACTATATTTCATTTTAAGTGATGTTAGATAATTAAATATATGATCAATAACTTATGTAGATACCAATTTCTCTAAAAAAAATTAAAAACCTATGAAGAAAATAAATGTCTAGGTCCAATTAATCGATTTATATGTCCTAACCAATTGGTGAGATCCAAAGCAAAGTAAAACCAAACCCAGCACGGTTTGAGCTACGAATGGTTAATGAACCGGTAATTTAAACGCTTTTAATTTCTCGGTTTAATAGGATCCAAGAGAAAAGCCAAACCCATGGTTTTCCGGCGGGTTTATGCTCCAGCCTCGGAATCGGCGGCCATTTAGTCGGCGGAGCATACGGTTCCATGATGCGTAAGTTCGGTCTCGGCGGAGACAACGTCCTCGACGCCAGAATCGTCGACGAAAACGGCAAGATCCTTGATCGCGCGGCGATGGGAGAAGACGTTTTCTGGGCGATTCGCGGCGGTGGCGGCGGTAGCTTCGGCGTGATTGTCGCCTGGAAAATTAAACTCGTACCGGTTCCGGCGATCGTGACGGTGTTCACAGTCACGAAGACGTTAGAGCAAGACGGAACTAAGGTTTTGTACAAATGGCAACAAGTCGCCGACAAGCTTGACGACGATCTCTTCATTCGCGTGATTATTCAACCGGCGAGCAAAACCACCAAGACCGGAAATCGTACGATCTCGACTTCGTACCAAGCCCAGTTTCTCGGCGACTCTAATCGGCTCTTGCAGGTACGATTTGGGGTTCAAAATTCGATATTCCTAGAACTTATGTGGTCTAAATTAGAATTTTCGAAAGCTAAGAACTTTTCGATTTTGACTTAAGTATGGTTTTTTATCTTTTTGGTTCTTGCAATTCAAGTAATGAAGTTTTTAAATTGACAAATTCAACCCTGAGTTGTTTAACAGGTGATGCAAAAGAGTTTCCCTGAGCTAGGACTGACCAAGAAGGACTGCACCGAAATGAGCTGGATCAAATCTGTAATGTACATTGCGGGATTTCCGAACAGCGCAGCACCGGAGGCTCTACTCGACGGAAAATCACTGTTCAAGAATCACTTCAAAGCCAAATCAGACTTTGTGGAAGAGCCAATTCCTATAGAGGGTTTAGAAGGTTTATGGAAGAGGTTTTTAGAAGAGGATTCGCCGTTGACGATATGGAACCCATACGGAGGAATGATGTCGAGGATTCCCGAGTCAGAGATACCTTTCCCTCATAGGAACGGGACGTTGTTCAAGATTCAGTGGCTAACGAGTTGGCAAGACGGGAAAGCGAGTGAGGCGAGGCATATGAAGTGGATAAGGGAAATGTATAGTTACATGGAGCAGTATGTATCGAAGAATCCGAGACGTGCGTATGTGAACTATAGGGATCTTGATTTGGGGGTGAATGAGGAAGAGAGTGATGCTAGAGAGTGGGGGAGTAAGTATTTCAAGGGGAATTTCGAGAGGTTGGTGAAGATTAAGGGTGACTTTGATCCTGATAATTTCTTCAGGCATGAACAGAGTATTCCCACAAAGATTGGTTAATGGATTGGAGTTCGTTGGTGTAATGGGTTTTAATATATAAAAAGTATAGAAATAATATTTGATTTGGGTTTTGCAATAGGGAGCATTCTACATTCTGTTTTTCTTTTTCTGTCTTCTCACGTAACAACAATCTTTACTTATGGTGGTGATGTGGTTTAGCGACAATGATTGGAAGTAAAGTATCTAGAGGTGATTCTAAAGAGACTCGAATCAAAGTCGGACCTTGTTTTTCTAAAATACTAAGACCCAAAATTCGATTATAAAAACCTAATGGATTTTAGAGAATACTGGAACCTCAATGCAATCTTCATTCATACCTAATGGATTATCCAAAATTTGACTGCTTTTGATGACTTTATGAAGAGAATCATCTAACAACAGAAGTCTGTAGAAACTCAGATGCAAAAACCCCTTGTTCGTCGCTCAACAACGAGAACCACTTGGTAACCAGATTGACTGAAGCAGATAAGCTTTCGTTCCCAGAGCTCGGAAGCATGGTGGTTTTGCCTTGAAAGGCTAGTGGGAAATCAAGCTGAAGCGTCTTCAGGAGGGAGTTCACAGTTGCTATCTGGACTGCAAATCCGGCTTTTAGTGTCATCTCACACTGCAGGAATGCTGCGAGTTTCTCTCTCAAGTTTGAGATTCCTTCATTTTCATAACCACCAGCATCCACTCCAATACTAGAAAATCCAAGAAACAAAAAAAAGAGATCAGAGATTTTGGATATTATTACATCAGATTGGTCTTTTGTATAAAGAGACAAAATTATAATATTACCTGCTGAGTTGCCCAAGAAGAGAGACGATTGCAACAGAAAGGTTCATTGGCAATGACATTCCCAGCATCTTAAGCAGCGGAGCAACAATGTTCGCACTAGTCCAATCCCATGCCTGCATTTAGATATACGATCAAACTGGTTTAATAGACAACAGAAAGAAAGGAGCAAAACATCGTGAAGGTTGAAAAGACTCTTGAACAATTATCAACGACATACCGTGTAATAGGCAATAAGCTCCACCAATGACAGAATGTCACATAAAGTAGTAACACTTTGATCCCTGGCCAATACGTACTGGAACTCTTTGTGTGCCGGCCTAAACTCGGCATTCTCGGTATGATGCAAAGTATTACACTGAGTAAACTCCTGAAGCATTTCAATAAGCATAGATGCCATAGCCTCCAGCGAGGAAGACCTATCTGAGAATGGACACTTGTTCTTTCCTGGGTGCAACTTAGCATTTCCCTCCACAGTACCAAAATGTCTGTTCTCTAGAAAAATGACAACAGATTTCAACACTGCAGTTGATATGTCATGATCACTAGAGGACACCATTTTCTCTCCAGCAATGTAAGCAAAAACGTGAAGAATGGTCATTAGCCCTGAGGTCTTCTCATGACTGTGCTTGTGCAGGATTTCAAGGGAAGCTTCACAGATAAATCCAACACGATCCAGTGCAGTACATATTGCTGCAAAAATAGCACTTCCAGCCACCAAGTGATCAATTAGAGCAATTCTGCTGCAGAGAGCTATATTTTCTCCATTCAGGGTGACAGGGATGCTCAACTCCGATTCAGATGTTTCTGAGGATTTGACAGAAAATAATACCCTCTGCTCGGAAAGGAGGTCCTGAAGGAGACTAAGGAGTTCTTCCGAGAATTCAGAAAGCATATGTCCAGCTTCAATATCAGCCATAACTACACAAGAAAATTCCCAAGTTCAATAAATTTAAACAGTGCAGGTTGAAATATTTGGTTTTGAGAAGAAAAAGAAAGGGAAATGGTTTTGGGACATGCCATCATATATATGCTTTGAGAAAGAATCCAAGAAGGAGCAAGAGTCGTCAGTCAGAGTGTTCCCAACTTTCATTGAGGAAACCACAGAGAAGTTATGCAGCAGCAAGGAGAGGAACACACATACCCTTTCCCTGGAAAAAACATATATTAGCGCCAGACACTGGTTTACTAATGGAGCTGAAAAAGGTAAATATATCACCATTATGCATTGAAAAGCTTCAGAGAGCAGAATAACTTACTGGGCCAAAAGGTTTTCTTCCACTTTCAAAGAGAACAGAATCGCAGGCACTGCCCACTGTGCACAAGTAACAGACGGGCACCGCTGTATACAGTTGTTTGTAGCATGGAAAATTTTGATAATACTCCTCTGGTCTTCAATATTTGAAAACACAACAAAGTGTTTAAGAATAAAATAATGCAATATTGTCGACATGGGTGGCATTTGGACTGTCGCTGAAGCATTCTGAGTGTTGAGACTAGGAGCTTCACCTGAATTTATGGTGTCACGTAAGTCCACACTATTACTAGCAACCAAGTCAAGCGACCTAGCAGGAGTTTTTTCCACATTCACAATCTCACCACCCAAAAAATCTACATGAGGAAGATCTGGGGACAGAAGCGATTCTCTTGCCATATTGTAATAACTTTCTTCTTCCAAATTATCCAACTCCAGCAACTTCATATAGTCTGTAGTCACAACGTCATCCAGAAATGATGTTGCCGCATCATGTACTTTAGTAGTAGAGAGGCACATCTTTTTCCCAGACACCTGCGTATTTCCAGCTATATTACTTGGAGTCTTGCCTGTCTGGTTAAACTCAAGAGAATCCTGTGTAATTGTCTTCTTCTCACAAGAAACCCTTCTTTTCTTGGAAATTGTAATGCAATTTGCAGAGGAGCCACCTACTACCATAGACTGCAAGGTGCCTAGCTTCTCTCCGATCTGCAATTTTTTTTTTCTATCATCAGATGGCAGATTCTTATGAAACTCAACTGCCTCAGACAATCTTTTTCTTTTTCGAGAGTGATCATTAACTACCTCAGGACTATCTCTCTGACGACTTTGAAGATCGTTTTCAGCAACCAAAGAGGGATTTCCATTTTTCCTGGCATCGGAGATTTTCCGGAACATACTTGACTTTGTTGGTTGGGTATTCGGTTTATCTTTTGTTATTTCTGCTGAGGTAGTAACAGAGAACTGCTCTTTTCCCTGTGAGGCCAGTAACTGTCCATCAGAAAAAGATGTTGCGCTGGAATTTACTCCAGAAGTCTGTAATTTTCTGGAGCCTCCGGTAGGAGACTCCAGTTGAGAAATAGTACCTGAGACAGACTCACTCACGCCCCGTCCAGATTTAGGAATTAACTGGGCAGAAAACTTGCGACCCTGCTCTGGAGAAACAGAGCTGGCAACCAACTGGCATCTTGCGTCAGAATGCTTCTCACCATTACGATTCTTTTGGGATTGTAGCATTTCCAGTTTCATGTGGCCCTTTGCCTGCAAAGCAATATAAATGAAACATAAGTACGCTGGTAAGGAATTAAAACGATCAAAAACAGCACAAGTATAAGAGAGATATATGTATCTATGTCACGATAGAAGCAACTATTTCCAAGACTAAAACAGATAAAATCTGCTCACCTTCTAGACTTCTACAGTCAGATTGAATGTTGCTAACAAATTCAACAGGGTAGAGCATAAGTGCTCATACTCAAATAAGTTCAACTGACTGTTTCAGCTAAATTGAGAAAGTTTGAGCCACACACATAATAAACCTAGGATATTCTCTCAGGAAGACTGAAATAAACATGATTCTTTTTTATCCACCATGTCAATAACAAAAGATCCACCATGTAGCCTAATGTCTGAAACCCCGGTACCAAACAAAGTATCAAATGTCAAAGCATTTCTATGATCTTCAAGCCAATATTCATATAAGGATGAGAAGAAAGTACAGAGTAAGAAATTTATGGCACAAACAAACCTTTCCAAGGCCAGATGTACCTTCGACGTCTCTTGAAAAATTCTCATCCAGTAGTTTCATGCGATTCGTAAGACTACCAAACTCCAGTTTTAACCGACCCAGCTCTTCAGCCTGAAATTCCCTTCGAAAATTTTCAAATTTAGCTACTTTTTGAGAGTGTTTTGCACATTTTCTCTCAAACTTCAGCTCTTTTTTCAAAAGCCTCACTTCAGCCTTTTCCAGATTTCTGACTTTATTAGGAGAAACAGAGCGAGTCTCGGTGGATTTCAGGGAGAGTGAAAGCTCATGCATCTGTTTTTTCAAACCCTCAGTCACTAATTGTGCTTCTTGTAGCTGCTGAGCCAGATCATCAGCACGAGATTTCCAGTCCATGGCTGTTTTCTTATTCATCTCAAGGAGCCTAATCTTCTCTTCCAGTTTTGCCGAGTTTTCAGCAAACTTTACTTTGCTACTCGCGCTCTGCAATTCCATTTCTTTCTTGAGCTCTTCATTTCTTGCTCTAACGATTTCAAACTTCTTAGACAAACCTTCTGCCAGCTTTATCTGTTCCCTAGCTTTTGCACTCTGCATATCTGCCCGTTTTTTCTCTTTCAGTGCCATTTGTTTTTCAAACTCAACCTGTTTTTTTACAGTCTCAAGATTGGAGGTCAAAGAAAGCAAATCAGAACTAGTCTTATGAGCTGTGCTTCTTAACACCTCCAGCTCAGAAAGATACTGATCGGCTTTCCTTTTCTCTGATTCTGCTTTCTTCCTCTCTGACTCAGTCTTCTGCCTCTCGCTTACAAGAAGATTTTTTAGCTGACTTATTTCCTTATTATCTTCAGGAACGTGTGGCTTAATATCCTCATTTTTTTCTATCAGAGCCTTTGTCTTGATCAGTTCCTTACAAACTTTTTCCCTCTCTTCGTCAGAATTATCTGCCCTTAATGTTTCTTTCTTAAGAAGGTCCTTCAATTCATTGATCTCCTTTTCCCCACTAGAAACTTGATCCTTAAGAATCTTTATTTCTTTACTTTTTTCTTTAAGGTTTTGCTCCAATCTTTGTTGCAAAGACAATATCTCAGACTTCAAACGAGAGATTTCTTTCTCCGACGACACGTATACCTCTGATTGATTTTCCTTAACGTCTCTTTGGGCCGCCATCTCCTCGAGTTCTGTAGGAGTTAGATACCAAGTTAGCACTTAGCAGTGACCCGTTAAAAAAATCACAATAAAGCACTTCGCTCAAACTATCAAAGAAAAGATGTACCAATCAGCAACCGAAGCACACAACACATCAAACACCCATACATATTATTTTGTCTAGCTATTTCTATACAGTTCCATACTTTTGCCCCCAACTAACACAATCTTAAAGTCCAATTTCAAAGCATCATTTGATTCTAATAAGAAGAAAGTTGTATGGTCTTACTTTTCTCGAGATTGGCTTTCTCATCATTAGCGTCCCCGATGGCCTTCTGGAGAATATCTATAGCTTCTTTACAATAATCTCGCCTCTTCTTCATGCCTAAGTACTTCCCTTGCCACTGAAATACATGAAGAAAAAAAACAAAGATTCTTTTTTAAGAAAAGCACTAAATCACCATTAATGGATGAAAGAAATAGAGTATTCAGGAAAAATACGTACCGCGAGGCAGCAAGGGTTTCCTGAAGGCAGCTCAGGTGGAGCATTGGCCGCCATTGCTGGGAGGATTTCTGGAACGAAACTCTCACATCAATGGGAAATTGTTCGCCATTAAACGGAGGCGGAGCGATGAGAATCTGATTGAGAAACGAAATCCTAAAACCCTAATTTCAGTGAGCAGAAGAAAGAAGAGAGTTTGAGAAGAAGGTGGAGAGACAAGGGAAGTACGATGTGACCGCTCAATTGGATCTCCGGGCGGGTCGGTGTTGTTTGTATATCTTTAACAAAGCCCAGCCCAGCCCGATAAACATTGGTTTTTTGTTATTTTATATACTTTTCTTCCAAGTTTGCAACATATCTATAGCTATTGCAATATTTTTATTATAGGAATTATTGAATTAATAAGAAAGAAAAGTAATCAGATTTTTATTATAGGAATTATTGAATTAAAATTTTATTTTTTCATATATGGATGCACGGTTTACTAAAAGTTTAGGGCTTTCTATTTAGAACTAGGTGTTACCCGCGCGCATGCGCAGACAAATTATTCATTAATATATTATCAACGAATTAAAACATAATTTTTTTTACCCATTCATTTTTCAAAAATACATAAATCAAATTGTATGAGATCGTTTATACCATGTATCTTTAATCGTATCCATTTGTTAGAAATATATAGTTTAAATATATTGATCTGTATTGATTGGAGACTAATTCTCAAAAACTATAGTTGTTTTATGTTTGTTAAAAATCTCCCCGCAAGTATAAAGATTGACAGAATTAATAAGGTATACAATATTAGGAATGAAGTTAATACAATAGTATTTTCGTATTATCCCCGCGTATGACATTCGAAATGGTTATTATTCTCCTTAAACATAAGTTAATATTATAGTCATTTTGGTATTATCCCCGCATCTATCTCCTTCTTCTATGCTTTATGTTTTGTGTTTGTAGTAGCTTTTTTGATGACTTTTGCTTCATGCTTTGTAAACAATTTCTCCCTTTGTGGGGAGTAATTTGATTTATAAAATCATGGTTTGACCCAAAAAAAAAAAAGATTAATGTATCATATAAATAAGTTTACATCTTCGTCACTCTAGACATTAGCCTACTTTGGAATTTGGAATTGACGAAGATATCTTATACATACTGAGTGACGGAGATGGCTGGAATTGACGGAATTTGGATTTTTGGAATATATACTCAAATCATCTTCCACTGCATTAAAAACCATCCCAAGTTCAATCACTCTCTTTGTCATATCATCACATGGCATGAGCCTAGTTGAGTTTGTCTATCGAAATTATTAACAGCAAACTCAGGTAAGAGTTTGAACACAAAATCAAAATTAACGTGGTTTAGCAGTGATGCTCTTGTGACTCGCATGGAAAGTAACCTATAAACCAACAAATCGCATTGAATATTTTTTTTTCAAATTCTTCCTTTGAAATTACAAGTTGTTAACTATCACTACGTTCTAAGTAGTGCTACAATATTTTCATATGTATAAGATTTTCATATTATTCATATGTATAATAGTTTAGTAGGGATCTCTGAAATTCTGAATTTATGCCCATTTAAGTGAAAAGTTCTTTTAAACCGCATTCACGTTCTAACGTACAGATAAATCTATCTAATCCGAAAAAGATTAATGTTTTTTTGGTATCTTTGGAGTAACTTGAATTTTTTTCTCTAATCACATCTTCTTCTTATCATAGAGTTTTGAACCATAATCTTATGCTGCTCATTCTCTTAAACTTGTCAGAGTTTACTCATTTTTTGGGTTTCACTTATTTTGGAGTTGTCGCAAACGTTTTTGAGTGCCTTAGAATGCCTCAAAATAATGAAAAACATTCAAATAAAGGAGATAGTTGAGAAAATACAACAAAATAAACAATCAGTAGAATGCTCTGCAATTAAAAATGTTTCAAAGTGTTCTAAATATAATTTACACAACCAACATATAAATCACACAAAATGGAAACAAAACTAACCAAGAAGCAATATCACAATCATTCTCAAGGAAAAAGAAACAACAGTACAATAATTGAACATCATCGTCAATGATTTGTAGAGTGATTTTAAAATCATTGATACATATTCATTACAATCATATAAATATTTTAAAATTACACATGTTCATTACTTATATTCTTCTTTATATCCATCAATCAAATATCTTCTCCGGTTTATAAAAGACATCACGATCAAAAGAGACTGTAAATATTGGA